GGTGGGGGTGGGGGGCAAAGCTGAGCTGGTTTGCTTGGCAGCATCCTGGAAGGTCACATTCACGGAGGCAGCCATCTTGCGAGCATCCCCACATTTGCAACATTTCAAAAGCCCCTCGCTGCTCAGGACTGGGTAAACCCAGCCAACTGCAGTTCATTTAATGAACTTTGGTTAAGTAAAGTGTAGCTTTGCACGAAGTAAGGATTTTAATATGCACTTAAAATTAAAACTGCTTTGATTGGCCAAAGATAGCACGGAATGGGGAAGAGAAAGCTTAATATACGGAAGCAGGGATTTTATTGTTTGCCCTGGGCAAGTTATAAAGCAGAGCCCTTTGCAAGCCATGAACAGTGAAAGGCCATGACAGCACATAACAGATAATTTTTCAAAGATAATTTTATCTTTTGTGTCTGCTGGCAGCCTCCTGCCTATGGAGGAAGCACCATTGGAGAAGTGACCTTGTTCATCTCCTCTGCGGGGGCTGCAAATGGCCTCACGGTAACGGCTCAGCCTCTCGTTGAGGGAGACGTGGGACGTCTGGAGAAGAGCAGCTTCAGATGTCAACCGTAACCACGCTTAAGTGTTCTGGGGCAGGATGGGAGCCAACCCTGCCTGAGGTTTGGCTGCTCGTGGAGCCGACCTGGTCTCCTGCAGTGGTCTCAGGACTGAGGAACCTGAAGCCCCCAGGCCACCCCCTGCACGGCGCAGGAACCCAGCTGGAAGCAATCTAGTCTCTCTGCTTGAAATTGGTCTTCAACAGGGCGTTCAGTTAACCGTCTCACCTAGGTTTTCCCAGCAAGCAGGAACTGCCTCCCTGCACTAGAATCTTCGAAATGAGCAAAAGCCGTTTCGGCCTCACCTGTCTGCAACGGCCTCATGGATCACACTTGGCCCTGATGTAGTTCTGTTTGGGCTTGCCTTAGTGTATGGTGTGAACCCAGCCATCGAAGTTTAGGATGGCTATATGACGACCCTAAAAGTAAACAACCCACCTTTCCACCCACCTTTAAAAAAAAAATCACTTTTTTGAGCTGTGGAAATTTGGTTAGAAGAAGTATGAACTGTTAAGCTTATAAAAGTCTTAAGGAATCTATTTGGTTATTCTTTTTTTTGAAAAAGAAAGGCGTTGATAACTTTTAGTCATTTACAACCAGCGTTGACTGCACCATCGGGCATATCTGCAGGTGCCCCCCAAAGGGGGCAAAAAAAAAGAAGAAACAATGCACCAAGTTGCTAACCTTGGCAGAAAATGACAGAGATGGGGCAGGGATTTCACTGGCTGCCTTAAGATCGCTTTTACCGATCCCTTCAGAGGAAAACTTTTCATTTCTTTTCAGGCCATGATTAGCTCAGAATCTCTGTCTCCGAGCGGATCATTACACTCTTTTTTTAAGGGAACAGCGTGCCTTCAATTTCATGGAGTGAAAACATATCAGATTTGCAAACGTCTGTGACATTTCAAGCACTGCATTTTGACAGATACAGCATAGAAATATTTAGCCATGTGCAATGCAAGGGGATAAAAGGAAGACCATTTTTCAAAAAAGCAAAGCGTACAGATCACATACATTATGTTTACACAATGTTATATACAGAAAGTTAAAATATTCATATAATTGGGAGGAAAGTAAGATGGTCTATTTGTGAAATTTATCTTGCTTCTGAATGTCCTTCCAGTCGTTAGGTGCCTATCTATGACATAAACACTACGCTATTTTTAAGATATGAAACTTTCATTTATTAATTCAAATGACATTATTTGCATTTACAACATTCATTGCATAAACCTGGACATAGAAAGTTTTCCACCTCTGGTTAATAACAGACATTTAGGGTACAAGTTATTGGCTGGATACATGTTCAAACAAATATTTGGGTACAACATTTTGTCAATAGTACATAACTTTTTTTTCTTTTTGTATTTTATAGCTACTAAAGACACAGTTCCATTAGCTACTTTGGGTCTCAGAACAGTTCGTCTAAAGGGGACATAAAACACAGAGGAAAAAGAGAGAGAAAGAGAGAAAGAGCAAGAGATGAGTTGCTAACTGTAATGGTTATACAATCTTTACACACAACCCTCTTTTTATTAAAGAAAAATCAAACACCGCCAGTATGAATCAACTGTATGTTGTCAGACCACCCAGACATTCATCGTAGCTCGCTGGGATGTGGGGAAATGTCCATGCAACACGCCAAGAAGAAACAAAGGCAGAAGAAGAAAGAGGGGAAGCAAGAAAACCAGGTAGCCCTACCCCCCGCCCCCATGATGAATGTCCAACAGTCATCGCCTTTCCTTGTACTTTATAACTACAGCTCTGCTATTGGGACATAAATGGGGGGACAACCATCTCAGCCCCACCCTGAAAAAGTGGCTGGAAAATTTTTCAAGTGCAGTTCCAGCTGCAAATGAGTAGCATTTTTTTTTTTCCTGTTGTCGATAATAATAGTTTGACATTTGAGAGGTAAGTTCTGATCTTGCAGTTTTAACTAAGAGATAATCCTCTCTTTTTACATTTTGGCAGCTGTTCCGTCTTGAAACTCCCCTTTTGATATTTTAAAATACGTGTCCACCTGAACTTCCGCCCTCTGGGCGGCTGTGTGAAGCGTTCAGCTCCATTTCTGCACCCCAAGGGGGACTACAACTCATCAGACCTGATGACGTGGAAAAGGGTGACGTTGTACAGTATTTGGTGGCCATTGTTCCACGCGTAGAGAGCTCTGTCCTTGGGGTTGTAGTCCAGCATGGAAATATGCGAGTACTTGTTTAGGAACGGGATGTCTATGTATTCGTAAGTGGAGCTGTTGGTCTGGTAAGCATAGGTCACCTTGGTTCCTCCCGAGTAGCCGTTGGTGACGTACAAAGTGCCACAGATGATGAACCCTTCGCCAGCGCTGCGCTTGGGGTAGCTCGTGTTCCAGGTCTGAAGGCTCTGCAAGGTGTTGGGGTCCAGCTTACTGATAACAATGTTCCCTGCATTTTGGTTGGTGGCGTAGACAGCCCACAGCCCGTTCTCATCCACCATGAGGTCGATGTCTGAATGGCCACCCCAGGCATAATGATAGACGTTATTGTAGCCCGCGTAATCCAAGCTACGCGTTTTAAGGATGGTCTCCGTTTTCAAGTCAAACTTGATGATTATGTGGCTTTGGTATTTGTTGAAATAGATTGAGCCATTGTAGACCACTTGGCCAGTGCCAGACCATGGGTGTGGAAGGCGGTGAGAGGTGAAGTTATCCGTGTTCATAAAGTCAGACATGGATTTGTATTCACGGACAAATCGGTTGTTATGATAACTGTCCATGTACCAGACCTAGAGGAGAGCAGCATAACACACAGAAGCAAAGAACATTAAAAAAAAAGGGCCCATCTAATTGCTCTTCTGTCAAATGTCAATAGCCTAGTTTTCTCTAATCTAGTGCCCTCCTTTGGTTCTCATCTGCTTCAGTCACCATGCCCAACAGCCACGTTAGCTGGGGAGTTAAGATTTGTTATCGAACACACACCTAGAGTGACAATGAATCCCACTGGCTCTTCAGGCAGGAGTGGCTAATCTGCCTGGCCTTTCTCAACTCTTAGCACCAGAGACAGGAAAGGTGGGTCTCCTCACCCCCGTCAGATGGTCATGGCTTTCTTTCAACACAGTGAGTCAACATTCAGTGACTGACTAACAAGAGATTAAACACCTGCCTTTCTCTTAATTGGTCTGTGCTATCTTGCTTGAGAAGATGAAAATAAAGCAAATAAATAGATGTATCACATGCAGTTAGGGTTTTGAAAGACCAACCCTGAGATGTGTGACATTATACAATTGATTTAACAATGGCAACAAGCTCCATTTATCTCAAAGTCATCCATACAGTTCCTTCGGAAGACAGAGGCAAAGCTTTCCTGGAGCTTCAGACCTTACACCCATGGGCACAATCCTTCTTCCCTCTTTGCAGAGGTCCATCATGTGATGGAGCTCTGGTGCTCTGCAAAATCCTTTGCAATCTCTGTGGGTAGCAAAGACACAGATTATGCAGAACGGACTGTGGCTCCACAGAGGACCCACGGTCCTCTTGAGTAAGCACAGCTGTGCGGGTTTACCAACAACAGAAAAAGAAATCCTTCTCTCGATGAGGTGATTCTGTCATGCAACAGCACTCGTGGAGATAATTAAATCTTCATCAATTAGATGTGAGGGCTGCAAAGAGCTCAGCACTTAACAGGGGCCTGCCAGGTCCTGCTGGCTTGGCTTTGCCCTCTGTCTTTCGACTGCTCCCTTTCTCTCCCACCCCTTGTGATGCGCCAGGAAAAGATAAACCAGGGTGAGTTGGAAATAGGCAGAAAAATCCTGGAGTCAAGCATAGGAGCTGCCCAGGCCCATCTCCAGCAATCAGGGCACAAGACAAGACAGGCCTCTTTTTCTCTGCACCTCCTCTGAGTCCTCTGAAGGTCTGCTGCTGACATTTTCTTCAAGCCAAAGGGGATCCGTGTGAATGATCTGAGATCACTGAGGATACCCCAGTGTGTCTGGATAGTGTATCTCCACTTCTTAGAGGGCAATGCTCTTAGGGTTGGGATTACTGCCCCTGTTCACAGCGTCGTGGAAAGGCACAAGGGAACGCTCCTACCTTGCTTTCACCTTCGGGAGCCAAGGGGTCTGTCATCCAGGAGCCGAACCTTGAACCAGAAGTCTTTACGGTTATGGGGTCGCTTATTGCAGTCAATTTCCCACATGCTGCAAGATAGTTGAACACAACAAAAGTAAGCAAGTCCTGCGATGCTCGCCCACCCCCCTTTTAACCATGGTCTGTGTATCCCTGTGTCACAATGTGTACGTTTTCTTGTCCTGGGAAAGCGGTTTCTGTTTTTCTACCTCATATTTAGGGTGCTTTCTCATTTCCTTGGACAGTAGTTTTGAGTTCACTGTATTATTCACTAGCTAGAGAAAGTGGCTGTATGAGATGCCAGAGGAAGCTAGTGGTTTTGCAGGGGAGGTTGCATGGTTCTCCATCCGTCTGTGATTTTCTTGGCTGCCTCTCCTTTCTGGTCAGGAAAAGCCCCTCGGGGGGGGAGTTCCTCCAGATGCCTTCCCTTGGGAAGCCGGGAGGCAGCTGGAGAGAAGGTGCTGCAACGAAAGACAGGATGTGTCTTTGGTGCTTCCTTACAAAACAGGTGCAAGACCCCCACACTTCATACAAGAGATGCTTGCCAAAAGTGTCTTCTTCATAAAAGTTTAGAACCACAAAATCATAGAGCTGGAAGGGTCAGCTAGTCCATCCCCAACTCAGTGCAGGGTCCATCAGAACATCTCTGATAGATGACCACCCAGCATCTGTCTGAAGACCTCTGATGAAAGAGAACTCACCACTTGTTGAAAGCAAGTTCTTCACTTCAAGCTAAGAACTCATATAATTTTAAATATTTTCTCTGACAGAAGCTACCAGCTCTCAAGGAAATCATTTTTGCATGTCCCCTTACTAATGGGCCGGTGTTCCATCACAGCAGTTTTGCACAAGAGTAATGCTTTCATACCCTTCTTTTGGGATGTCCAGGAACATCACCCCATCCACAATAAGGAGCAGAAAGCTGAACTGACTAGCATATTTGGTCTTAGGACACTAGGATTTTGACAGCTGAATTCAGCTTTATAGCAACTAGGGTTGTTTAGGAAGAATTGCATCACTGGCCTGTCAGCACACTCAGAAATTCATAATGCCCAATACATAAGGTATCCTTCATTCCTAACCCTTCATTAGGTAACTCGAGTTAGCTAAAAGCTACCACATCAGAAGTGACAAATCCCATAGTTATGTGATTTCTGCTTTCTGATTAAAAGAAGTTCTCCATCCCCTAGTCTTAGGTATTTCAGGGCCTTCTCCTTCAATAAGTAACAATTATAAGCTCCCTGGGCCCTCAAATTAGTTCATAGGTGTCTGCCATGGCGTTGGGATGTTTCTGTTCATCACCAAACTTGGGAAAAACTGGTTCCACCCAATATGGATTGCTGTTAGAACAACGTTATATGAAGGAATTGGCTTAAATTCCTCAGAAATGTATACAATCCTACGATACAGTGGGACCAGGTAGGTGAAAGTTGCCACATAATAAAACATCTTAAAAATTGGTCATTAATGGAACAAAAGCGAGAGAAAGGTTCTAAAGCTTGTTGACCTCTTTAGTAGTCTTGCACACTTCTTTCTTCTTGCCTGTTAGATGTAAAACTGGGGTACCCAGCCTTGAAAGGGCAGTAAAATGGCAACCCTCTGGAACCAGTCCAGTGGGTATGGTGAGAGATACCTCCCCTTCTCTGGTGGATTAGCAAGGTTAGTAAAAATTTGCGGAACCCTGATTTGATTTTCAACCTTATCTTTAACAAGCAACTAATGAACCACAAATGGCGCCACAGAGGCTCTCCTCCACCAATAGAATACCAGAAAAAAATGATCATTCACCTGCCACCTACTACCCACTTACCTGGGGCAGACCTTCTCAATGATTAAGGTTTAGTTTTGAATGAGCTTTGGTGGCACTGTGCCATTATAAGCCCCACCAATTCATGATTGTGACCCCTGCTTCCCGTTTTGGCCCACAACCTCGCTGATATCCAGCCGAAGCTGAAAGTCCCATGACTGATGTCCACAGGAGATAATTCAGCTCACTTGATTTCCAGCAAGAAAGCCTTTACTCCCGATTCATTTCACGGAGCATTTCCCTGGCACAAATATGGCCATGCCTCCCCAAAACCCCTGAGTTTCCAAATGGAGCCCTGTTTATTGGCTCAAGGGCTTTCTGAGTCATGGACTCCCGAGTCACCAGGCGGTCCTGAGTCTGAAAAAGTGGGACCATGGAACAGCAGAGAAAAGGTCTCCCAGTCACCCCCAACCTTATGGGACTTCCATCACCCCTAGGAGAGAAGACAGGGTGGTTTCAGCAGAAAAAGAAACCCGATTCATTTCAGTGGGGCTTGCTGAGGTTGTCAGTTGGGTAGTGGTTTTAATTATATTATTGATGTTTATGTTTGCAGCTATCATATTAATGTTATCTCTGCATTGTTTCACTGTTTGAAGTCTCATTTTTGTTTTTGTTGTTTACTTGTTAGTTGAGGATTTACTGTTGATGGTGTTTTAGAACAGCAGGATATAAAACTAATGTTAGTAACGGTATTAAGACTGCTGAACTTAGTGGATTTGGAGTCTTGGCCTGTGACAGCTGGAGCCTTTCAAGCTGGCTAAAAAAGAAAATACACTGAGCTTGTACAGAGCCCAAGATCACCTCTGTGTGTTTCAAGAGAGCCCTGCATGTTCTGGAAATGTTTTCCTACCATCCCTTTGGTCAACGGTTTCTCATCCCCCCTCCCTGCCACATGCACATTCCCTGTTAAAAGATTACTGCCACAGTGGCCCTTTTGGAAAGCACCACAGGTTTGCCTGGTGTGGCAGAATGGCCCTGAGTCCTCCATCCATCCATCCATCCATCCATCCATCCATCCATCCATCCATCCATCCATCCATCCATCCACCCATCCATCCATCCATCCATCCACCCATCCATCCACCCATCCATCCATCCGCCCTCTCTCTCTGTGAAAGAGGCAAGGCTCGACGCCCTGCCTTTAATGATCACACGGTTGTATGCAAAACCTCTCCCCTGATCTCTCCCTTACAAGGACTTGACCAGAGGGCCATGAAGGGCACCTTCTTCTAGTCTTCCTTTGAGGTTGCAGGGGAAACCCTCCATCCGAACGCGGGGGGGGGCAACTCTGGTGTGGCGGGGCACCAACGGAGTTCTGTAGGCGTGACTCTGTGCCTGTGGCAAGCCTGTGTGTCTTGTGGAAGCAGTAAAGCCCAGAGGGCGAGGACGCACCGCCTCTTGGGGGCCGGTGCATCTCCTACCTAATTTCTGCATGCATGCCCGCAGCCTCTCTTCAAGATTTGACACTCTGCTCTGAAGCTCTTCGTAGTCAAAGGCGCCAATTTCTTCCTGGAGCTCGTTTAGAACTGACGTCAGGTTCTGCACCTCCTCTTTAAACTGCAAAACCAATTTGGCATCGGCTTTGTACTCCTCCAACACTGGGATCAAGGGCCTAAGCTCTTCCATTTTCGCTTTTATTGCCTGCAAGGTTAAAATAAGCTTGGTTTCAGTGCTCTGTGTGCAAAATCCCTCAACCCCCTCTCTGCACTGGGCCTCTGTTGCTTTGGGGCGCGCCAAATCCACTCTCCGCAACACAATGACCACCATTACTAGTATCATTAATGCTTGTGGGGGCGGGGGGAAATTCAAATGTGGGAAATATATAAATATATATATTAAACAGTCTGAAGAACACCGTCTTATTTGGGAAAAAAGGCCTTTATTTTTATTTTTTTTCTGTTTTTAGAATGCAACATCTTAAGGTTACATGCTTCAGTCACATACACAAATTCTTTTTTTTTTCTTTTCCATAAAAGAATGATGATGATGATAATGATGATGATGATAATAATAACCAACGCATTGACAAGAAGTTCCAAAACTAGTGATGAAATGTGTTTCTACAAGTTCCATGCAAAAGACAAGCTTTCAGCTGGGTGGTTCTGGTAATGGTGGAAATTTGGAAAGTAAAACAGAAACGAATCAGAGAACTCAAAAGAAGGCAAACTCAAAGGGTGGTGGGAAAAGCTCTCTGCCCTCTCTCTGTGTGTGTTTTTCATGGTTACATGTGGGGGGGATGAACACCTTCTTCAGCCAGTGCGACATTGTAAAAATTTCTTTTAAGTTAGCCCTGCAATGAAGAAGATGAAATACTCAAGTCCCAGAGGCTTACTCAGAAGTCAACACAGTTTGCACCCCAGCCGTGGCCCTCCTAACGCCCCCCCAGAGCGCTCCCTCCCCAACGGTTGGGGCACCACGAAGCACCAGCTCACGGGAGAAAGGGGCCGCTGGCCAGCCCCCCAGCTGCCCCCCTCGGCACCTGCAGCCTTGCCGTTCACCGCCAAGCCCCCCTCCCAACGGCCAGGAGGGCCCCTCTCCCCGGCTCACCCTGTGGCACCTCTGCAGAGGAAAGGGGGCAAGGGTCCCTGGCAGGTTCTCTCTCACTTCCACCTTTCAAAGCAACTTGGGGAGGCTCCCAGGGTCTGGGGAGCACCTTCCATGCTCAAGGCTCACGAACTTCTGCTTCGGGCCAGGCACTGCATCGGCTCCCTTCTTTAGCAAGCGGGGGCTGGTGGCAACCTCAGTGAGCTATACTGGAGGGCTTCTCCTTGAATAACTGTCAGGGGACCCCCATGAGACGCAAAGGATTTTGGGAGAGGTTCTTGTAGGAGAGTCTACGCGAGCCCGAAATGAAGCGGAGCCCGGGAGCATCTTTTTCAACTAGCGACTGTTGTTAAAAGGCAGACGCTTTTGTGAACTACAGCTCACCTCATCAGATGTATGGAGCGGCTCTCAATCTGGTGAAGTGAACTAAAGCCCATAAAAGTTTCTGCCTTTAATAGCATTTGGGCTAATGGGCTTGGAGTGCAAATGGTAAGGAATATGTTTTTGCTATTCCTCTGATTCTTTGCTTCATTTGCAGTTTTAGAGTGTGTGTGTGTGTGTGTGTGTGTGTGTGTGTGTAGAGAGAGACTCTGTCTCTCTGTAAAATCTCGGTCTCATTCAATCTGATGAAAGGGAATTTGCTTTACATATTCTTTAAACGTGAAAAGAATTCCACCAAGTTGTGCACGATGGAGCTGCTTGCTCTTGTGGTGGGCCTTCCGCTGCCTGACTCTCTGTCCATGGTCTGCAGCCTCCCTGGCTTCCTACCCTTCCATTCAATCTCCAGGCCACTGAAGGCCTCAGAAAGGAAGAAGGCGCCCCACCCCGGGGGCTTCTGCAGAAGCCAAGCCGCTGTCGTTGCCAAGAGCTACTCTACCCTGGAGGAATTGCCGTGACAGTCATGGAGTTGGAAAGGACCTAAAGATGATCTAATCCATGATGAAGCTATCATCAGCTTAATTTCTCTGCCTAGAAATAATTTGTAAAGGATTCCGAAAGGCATTTTCTCCCAAGTCTAATTAATTTTGACTGGAAAGACAGCAAGTCAAAAGGTGTCACGGTTCTGCCTCTCCAGGAAGCCACTCACTCAACTGAGAATGCGCAGCACAGAAAAGTCTGTCTGGACCCACAGAACAGCTTCAGGGGATTTCCCCCACAGCCTTCCCGTCAACAGATCTCTGCCCTGGGGCCCAGGGACAGGTTGGGGGAGCCTGAGAACAGTTCAGAACAGAAAATACCCCCTCCAGCTACTGGAAGTGAGGAGAGCATCTTAAGGGTCCCCACAACATTGAATTAATATGTGCAACATGCCAAATGATACTGAACATTAAAACAAAAAGCAAAAACAGGCAGAGCAATTGTACAGTCTAACTGATTCTCCAGAGGAGGAAGGGTGGGATCGAGACTGGACAGCCTCTGTCAAGGATGCTTGAACCCGGGGCTCTGTTTTCACTGCATGCCATGTGGGCCTCCGAGTGCCACCGGAAGACCATTTTTATGAGAGACTCAGACTGGCCCAGCACAGGACAGAAAAGCTCTTGTGAAAAGAAGAGGAGGGAGGATGCACTCATAAAGCACATTCATTAGTAGAGCAATGGCCCAGAGAAGCCATTGGTCAATGGACGTGTTCAGTTGGAGGCTGGTCAAGATCTTCCAATCTGTTGGAGATCTTCCGATCTGGACTGGAATTTGGTCGTCCCACCCACCTGAGCAGGGGGTGGGTAGGACGACTCAGAGTCCCTTCCAGTTTGAGGATTGCAAGGTAAGTATAATAATAAACTTGCAGTAAGATTTTGAAACTGACAAGGACATCTCTTTCATTCATTACACTGAATGCTATTCTTCGGAAGTATGAATTTTCCACACCAAAGGGGAAAAAAAATTCAGAACATTTAGTTCTGAAATGACAGTTATTCCCACGATTCCTGGTCCAATTTAAAACGGGCTGTTTGAGGAGAGTGTCTGAATCTGAAAATTAATCAAGAAAAGCTTGACTTCAGTGATGCAGCCCCCACAGCTCCAAGAGGCAGGCTGTTCCACCACTTAATAGCTCTCACGGTTGGGAAACTGAGTGTGGATCTTGCTTCCACCTGCTGGTTCTTGCCCTCCCCTTGGGCACTACAGGGAAGACATCCACACCCTCTTCCCTGGGGCAACCCTTCAAGGACTGGAAGAGGATCGCTTTCACATCTCCCCTTAGCCTTCTTTACTTTAGGCTCAGGATTCCTCCGCATGCTTCTTGTACTGTAGCAACCCAAACTGGGTATTTCAGGCACCCAAGATTGGATTGGCTCTTTTGACAGCTGCAGCACATTGCTGGCTCATGCTTAATTTGCGGTCTACCAGGAGTCCCAGATTCTTCTCACAAACACTCCTGCTGAGCCAGGCACTACCTATCTTGTACTACCTCTCTGATTTTTCCTACCTAAAGGAAGAGCCTACATTTCTTGCCATTGAACTGCATTTTGTTGAGTAGGGCCCAACGTTCAGCTCTCTCAAGATCCTTCTGAATCCTGAGCCTGTCTTCTGAGGTGTTAGCAATTTCCACCAGCTTTTAATATAAGCCTACTTCAAAGCAACTGGGCTTCCCTCTGACAGCCCAAAATAAAAAGAATAGGTAGCTGAAGGTGTGGAAGTGAAATTTCAGAAGCAGAGATGAATAAAATTCCCAGAGGTGGAAGCTTCCTTGCAGAGCACGGAAGAACATCCAATTGGAGAAAAATTAGGTAAAGCATAAGAAATCATCCAATTCTGGTCAGTCTCGATACACCAGAAGGCTGTGGAATCGAAACGTACTTGGTGCAGGACTGAGGCAGGCCCCTGAGAACCTGAAAATGCCTGGACTATAGAAAGCTGACTTCACTCAGCACAAAAACTTATGGACCACAGTGAGTTCTACAGAGGTCGAATTGTGTTTTTGTGGGTAACAGAGTAGAAAGAACTATTAAATGGTAACCAGCTCAGTGGGGAAAGACAGAGCAATGAAAGCTTTTGAGGGAAAAGTTTTTGGGAGACCAAAAATTAGGGTTATTGGGTCTTGTCAGAAGCCTCGCTTCTATATGGTGTCAACTACTTTACTGAATCTGCGCCTATGGTTTTAATGGCAGCCAAAGTCGTGGATTTTAGCAGGAAAAGTAGATATAAAGTACTGATAAAGAGAAAGGGTTGGCAGCCCTACTTGTCTGACATTTTGATTTTAAAAGTTAATTCCAATTTTAGGAGTGGCAGGATAGCAAAGGGGCAAAGGAAATAGAGATTTCCTGGAAACTGTCAGTAACTGCAATGGAAATCTTAGAATCATAGGATCCTAGGGTTGGAAGGGACATTGGAGATCTTCTAGTCCAACCCCCTGACCAAGGCAGGAGTTCTCATACCATTCTGGACAAATGGTTGTCCAATCTTTTCTTGAAAACTCCAGTGATGGAGCACCCACAACTCAGGGAGGCAAGCTGTCTTAAAGTTGGGTGCCTCACATAGTCCTTCCCATTCTGACTCTATGCTGAGCTCCAGCCACCATTGTTCTGAGCAAGTACAGCCCCCAAGGGGAGTGGAACCCAACCATTCTGAGAACCCCCAGTTGGGAAACGGTGCCCAAGAGACCCTCAGCCTTCTTCCCCCTGGAAAAACTCTGCTAAGAAAGCACTTCCTTCCTTGCTGAGCCCATGAGGTCTACTTACCTTGAACTGTCTGGCCAGGTGTTGCTTGTGACTCTCTTCCACTTGCTTGAACTTGGATTCCAGGCCTCTCATTTGATTCTCCATTTTCTCAACATACTGAAGATCCCGTTGAGTTCGCCTGTCCAAGACTTCTATTGACTGGGACATGTTCTGTACCTGTTGAGCAACCGGGTGCGGGGTGGGGGGTCAGGAGGAGAACCGAGAGAGAAGCAGCCATTAAAGTAAGAGACACCAATAAAAGCGAATATGTGTAGCTCAGGGTTGAACTGTGGAGTCCTTGGGGTTCTTTCTTGTTTGCAAGAAAACAACCAAGCTCAGAGAACCCCAAGGACTCCACAGTAAGAGACACATAAAGGGAAGATTGTCAAAAACTCTTTGCCATGGCCAAGGGAAGTAGGAGCAGAAATGAGGTACAAGTCATAGCTACCTAGATTTCATTTAAAACTAAGGAAGAACTTCCTGAAAGTAACATTTGTCCAACAGTAGAACAGTCTACCTAGGGAGGCCATGGATTCTCTAACTCTGGAGGTTTTTAAGAAGAGGCTGGATAGCCATCTCTTGAGAATAGCTTGACTGGTTTTCCTGAACATGGTAGAGAGTTGGACTGAATATTTTTATTTTATTTATTTATTAAACAAATTTATAAGGCTGCCCAACTCACACACGGTGACTCCAGGCAGCTTACAGAATTAAAACCCATAATACAAAAACCAATTAAACTCCCCACCCCCCATGGCGGCAACAGACACACCCAAATTAACCATTTGATCGGCTCAGTATCAGCCTGGGGTCTCCAGGCCCATTGACAAAACCACGTCTTCAGGGCCTTCAGGAAAAGTATCAGGATGGGGGCCAGTCTTATCTCTGGGGGAGTGATATTCCATAGGGAGGGAGCCACCCCAGAGAAGGCCCTTCTTCTCAGTCCCACTAGAGGTACCTCCCCCACTGAAGGAACCCGCAATATACCCAGCCTCCCCACTCTGGTGGGCCGGGTAGATGTAACTGGGGTGAGGTGGTCCTTCAAACAACCTGGGCCCAAGCCATGTAGGGCTTTAAAGTTAATAACCAGCACCTTGAATTGGACCCAGAAGCAAACCTGCAACCAATGCAGGTCCCACAAAAGAGGTGACACATGT